TTCCCCCTCCGTACATTCCTTCTACTGTACAATCCCACGCTCTATTACTGTCGCCCGGAAACTCTTTCTTTTCTCTATCGTCAGATTCTAATATTAGCGTTCTGTTTGATCGGCTCTGCAAATAAAGTACAGAGGAACGAATAGAAATATATGAAAAGAGATTCAATAGCTCAATTTTTACAGTATCTGTCAATGTAATACTTTAATGCATTCCACAATGATTTTCTAAAAGCCGCAGATATAGAATTGATTGCAAGATAGTTAACTGTTATTATGATATTTTTCATATTTCATCGTCATCCCAAAAAATGGGTGGTGATACGAGAAATTTATAGATCAGTTGGTACACCTGTTAGAGTGTATAATTTCATAACCTTGCCGATCTGTACCGAGGAGGATTGGGGTTCCCCCAATTTTTTGACGTCTAATAAACATAATCGAGGGAGCAAAGCGCCAGATGGGGCTACGGGAAGACTTAGAATTCCCAGGGGAGTAGGAAGAGTACTTTATTCCTCAAGAAAATCCCGCGACGAATTAATCCGAATTAAATGTTAGAAATTTATTTCTAAATCAGTCATTGAACCCGTGTCTGATTTCCGTGTGGTCCAAAATTATTTCAGGTTTAATTGAAATAATTAATTGTCTTGTTTAGGAAATCTTCAACGACTTCTATGTCTTACACCTTCTACCGCGCAATCTCTTTCGCTCTGATTATTTCATACATTTTATTGTTTAATAGAAGAAAATTGCAACAGAAATAAAACGTAAAATTCGAATGTAATACAGCTAGGCAAAACATGGAAAAAGCACTTCAGAATTGAGAAACTGATAAAAGTGCCATGAAGTTTAAGTCGCGGTTGGAAACAGCAGATAGAAACTAAATAATTGATTTCATGAATTATTTCTGTTACTCCTTGGTTCCTATCGGAAATCAATCTCCGAGGACTCAGTATCAAGCAGATATTTTCATCTCAGGTCACATCATTTTTATGCTTCGTCACCAATTCTTTTTTCGCATATTCACTCAAGTATTTGATAAAAGACCACTATAATTACTTAATTATAATTAATAGCTCGACGAACTCTGTTCAACATTACCCTTATAAGTCATTCTAATCACTTCATAATAAATTCAATTCAACGGAAAATCTAATGTCAAGCAATTATTAGATAATAAATAATTATTTATAGTTTTTGGTAATGCAGAGTTGTTTTTTCACGAAATTTATGAAAAACTATGGAGTACTCTCGAAACCGGTACCTCAATCGATCTTCCCACATCTGAATTTTATTTTTATCTTCCCAGAATAGAGAAGTTATCGAAAATGTGGAATCAAGTTTTTACTATATTTCGATATTTCTCGTATTGTCGAGTTTTTAAATAAAATATATGGAATTTTAATATTATAAATATTCTCTGTGTTAAATTTACAAAATGAAACCGGAAGGTCTTTCTAATAAATCGGAATCGCCGGTAATGAAAGAAAACGATAATTCTTTAGTAGATGATTTTTTTGAAGTGATTTTGGGAATTTTGAAAAATATTCCATTTTATCAGAAAATGGCGCGAGTGGCGGCGCACCAACACTGAATAAAATAACAAGCAATGCGGCAGGAGTTATGAATGCTCCACTCTGCGTATTATTTTTTCTTCCATTTCGGTCTCTACCTATTTCATTGGTAATACTCGTCCAAATGGATTCGACCGAATTCATAAAAAAATACATAAATTATTCTCCGAAATTATTCCGTTGCTCATCTTGAATTTCTACTCAACGTAATGATTATTCGAGATCATAAATGAAAGAAATATTCAATAAAATTTGCGTGTCTCCGTAATTCCGGAGCGAAATCTGCTTGTAGGAAATTTTACGGAACTGTCAGGTAATTTTTACCTAAAGTGACGGAATTTTCTGCGGCGTTCTGCAATTTTTATATGAATTATGATAATTGTCTATGAATGAAATTTATTTATGAAAATTACGATACCGTCGCTTGAATTTTTTGAGTCGATTCCATAATCGGTAAGTGAACTGAAAGTTCCAGAATTTTAAATAAACATTTCTCTTCGTGTATTGATTTGCTTGGGGCGTGGATCGTTAACAAAATTCAAAATAAGTCGATATATCGAGTCGGTCCGATATGGAGAACGTATCTGACTTGTCAATTCCATAGAAATTCGATTATCTTCAATTCAACCTTCTGTAAGGTAGTACAAACGTCAGAGAGTCAGTGTAAAATATATTTATTTTCTCTTATTCTCTTAGCAGACAGAGGATACGTGATATTTCGATCTCTGGACAGGACTTTCTATCGTTTTTATGTAAATCGAGGAGGTCTTCACTGAAATTGAAAATTCAAAATTTTTGAAAAAGTATCAGGGGAGCATGAAAATCGAGGAGCTATTCACTGAAATTTGAAAATTCGAAATTTTTCGAAAAGTATCAGGGGAGCAGGAAAATCGAAGAGCTATTCACTGAAATTTAAAAATTCGAAATTTTTCGAAAAGTACCAGGGGAGCATGAAAATCGAAAAGCTATTCACTAAAATTTGAAAATTCGAAATTTTTCAAAAAGTACCAGAGGAGCATGAAAATCGAGGAGGTATTCACTAAAATTGAAAAATTCGAAATTTTTCAAAAAGTATCAGGGCAGCATGAAAATCGAGGAGGTATTCACTGAAATTGAAAAATGCGAAATTTTTCAAAAAGTATCAGGGGAGCATGAAAATCGAGAAGGTATTCACTGAAATTTGAAATCCCCATCAAACGCCACCATCAGATCCACTCATAACATTTGATCATACATTTAATCCATCTCAAATGCTCGATTATTGCATATGAATAATATAAATATAAATAAAGAGAAAACATTAAAATTGTAACGAGTAATGAATCAGTCACTCATCGAAAAGCGTCAGGAGACATGTTCTCTGCAAAATCGGATAAATAATACATCTTTTTTTTGCAGTGGCCTGCAGCTGCACTGGTGTCTTAGGTCAGCAGGGGCCAGTCTTCGTGCTAGAACCCCCCAGTACTTTAGTGTTTTCCAATACAACTGGGTCACAGCTGAGCTGTTCAGCCCATGGCAGCCCAACACCGCACGTCACGTGGATTACAAGCCCAGATCAGCGTCCGGTAACTGCAGTTCCAGGTCTCAGGTAAATTACCCCAAATATCCACGGAATCCTTCAAAGATTTTCCCATACGAAAAGAATCACATGGAAATTTGTATTTTCATCATTATCCAGGATGTACCCTTCTCTCTGCAATGTACACTTGAGGCCATGCAAACATTTTTTTTTCCTTTCACACTTATAATTTCTTATGCTCGGGATCCTTATTATCCTTATTCCTTATTATGAAAGTAGAAACACAAAAATGAAGTTCGCCCGAGTCGATATATCTCGAAACGCGTAGGACTAATTCCTCATTGGTCAACTCGAACCGCCAAATTCAAATTCGGCGCACGGAGTGCGCACTAGGTCTCGTAAACATTTAAGATAAATCTAAAACTTAAAGTCTTTAATATTCACATCTAAACAAACTCTTAAATCTAATCGCTGGGGACATATCGCCCTCACTTTTTTATGCTGAAACAAAAAAAAGTAACAAAGCACTAATTTTTACCGAACCCACAGTTCATTTCAATGTTTTATTGCTCCATAAGCTGGTCTCATTGTTTCAGACAACTATTGGGTAATGGGACTCTGTACTTTCCTCCATTTCTCGCACAAGACTTCCGAGCAGAAGTCCATAATGCTCGGTACAGATGCCGTGCAGTCAACTCCGTGGGAGCGGTGCTGTCCAGAGAAGTCACACTTCGTGCTGGTAAGTTGTTCCTCCTTCTTGCTACAAATATTTTGTTACAGTTACAGAGAAATTCATTAAGGATCAGCCAACGGGATGATTAGGTCCAATGACTAGTTGATAGTGCGGGTAGAGATTCTATATGCGTCTCTAGATAGCGGTGAGATAACGATTGCCAAATCGCAGGTATCTCGAATTTCTAAAAATTAACAAATCATTTTTAATTCAGCTTCGCCCTCTTCAGCTTTCAAGTCGTTAGACACCCATCGATTAGTAATGGGATCGAGATAATCAGAGCTATCAATCGGTTCCTCTTGAATCGAGAATAGCGACTGCCCTTGCTTTTTAGGGAGTAATTAATAATTTATTATAACGTGGAAGTAAAAAATCTCAAGAAAGACTTTGAAGATTACTTATAATCGACTTAACTTCATCAATATCCAAGTGATTAAACGTATTCCAATGGACCAGTATTTATAATATAATATGAAAATTTACTTGAAATTATAAAGTACAAATGTTTGAATTTCTCCTCAATAATTTCAGCCTCGTTATCGCTGTCCTTCAAGATCCAAAAAGTCCTCGAACATAACCCCCGATTTATAGCTTCCAATAAAAATCCGAATCTACACGATGAGATCCTAGTACCCGGAGGAAGCTGAGATAGCGAAAGAGTTTGTTCGACTAGTTTTAGGGTTTGTTGGTGCCAGAGGGCTGTGTACTGAGTGGAAGAATATATTATAGCATACAAAAAAATAGGTAATAAACAATTTTTCATGTAAAGTAACATATATGAGGATGAGAAAATCAGTGCCTTTGGGGTCCTTCTGCACTATAGAAAATATAACGCTCTCTCGATCCCACAAATAAGCCCTATCGTCCAGGCCGATGTCATTTCAGATACGGTTACCTCGCCATTCACTTGCCACCGACCCTTATACATCTCCACTTCTCTACTTCTCTTCAATTTGGCAGCCCCATGATAACGCAACTACGCCTATATGCCCAGGGATATACGAAAGAGAGATAAAACTCCAAGGAATCAAATAATCACTTATTCCTTTTGGTCTTCAGGTTTTCTACAGCTTTCAAAGAAACCACAGTGGTGAACTACAGTTGGAAAAGAAACTCGCGCAATAAGTGCCTTTTAGCCTGAGGTACACTAATTGAATTCAAAATACGAGATCAAAAGCGCTGGATTTTTTATTGATACTAGCGTATATGGCGCGCTATGCGCGCCAAATCGTCCACGTATGGGGTGTTATCATTGGAATATATATATATTTATATACTTCCAATGTAATATATACATATATAGAATTTCAAAAAGAAGATAGAAAAAAGTCTAAAAATTTTTTAT